TATTTAATAAAATATATTTTGAATATATTTTAAATATATTTTAAGTATATTTTAAATATCATAGTTTTTATAAGGTAATCAAATAATTAAATTAATATTAGAAGAAAATAACTCTGTACTATAAAACATTAACATGAATCTGATAATAAAGAAACATCTACTATTAGTATTAAAGAAGATTTTAAATCTTTAAAAAAATGGAAAGTTTTTTAAACAACAAAATTTAAATGATTTTTGTTTTGAAGATTTAATTAAATTTAAAAATATATATGAATATTGTTGAAAAATTAGAATTTATAAATAAAAAACAAACAAAATTAGATAGTATTTTTTTTTACAGATATGAGTTTTGAAATAATTTAAGTAGATACTTTAAATTCTAATTTGAAATAATTGAAAGTTCTGAATTGAAAAAATAATATAATATATAATATAAAATATAATAAAGTTTTAACAATTTTAATTATAAAAATTTATAATTACCAGTGTAAGAATGGTTAGTTCAATTAATATTAGATCCAATTCAATTATTGCGTCTCTGGCTAATTGATTTTCTCCTGGTTAAATTTTGGCTCAATAGCTAAATGGAACTAAATGGCTAAATTCTGGCTAAATTCTGGTACTATTTTAATTGGCTGGTGCAACTCTAATCACGTGAAAAATTATAATTATAATTGAATAATTATTTAAATTATTAATATTGATTTTTTGATAAATTATCTTCAAATGCTAATAACTTTATGAAAATTAGTGCTACAAAAATGAAACATATATTATTATGGTAGCTAAGAACTAGAGCTTTCGATTAGTCATAAAAATATCTTAGTAAAAAATTACTTCAAATCATGTAAAATTGATTTGAATTAAAAATAAAAATAATTATTTTTAAATATTAAGATCTTTACAAATATTAATATTAGAAAAACAATTTAACTATTATTTTGAAACTTATAATAAGAGTTTTTAAATAATTTTAAAATTTATATTTAATAATGATTATTCAATAAATTTTATAATTACACCAACCAATTAGAATTATGCTATTATTTAACTTTTGTATTAGAATTTAGCCATTGTGCCAAATTACACCAGAGCTAATTCCTAGGCTCAATTGGCTAAATTAAATCTGGCTAAATTTCTGGCTCAATTCATATTGCATCTACTATTCCTACACCAGTGATATATATTTTTTATATGATATGATTATACATAGGTTTTTCAAATAATATTACCTATTGTTATATTTACCATCAAAATTTGATCCCAATATGATAATTATTATAGTTCTAACTGTAATTCATTAGTAACAACACATATTGTAGAATATTGCAAAACTGTAGATACTATAAATAATTATATTGTAAACTTTTTACTATCTCAAAATGAACAAAATATGTTAATCATTGATATGATTAATAGAATAAGAAATTAGTAAGTATGGACTTCATTTGATGATGATAAATTATTCTGAAGATACACAAATTTTTCATCTATAGTTACTTTAGTACAAGGAGCTAGGGTCATGTTTTTACATAATCAATATAATCAATTATTCTCAGATGGATTGTACAATGGTTCCATTGGTATAGTATTGGAAGTTCTTAATGATGAAAATACAATAGTTGCATTTCCATTAACCCAAGAAATTTCTTGTACAAAAGTTGTTAAAGAAACAGTTTACTTTAACATACATGGTTCCCATACACAATGAAAACAATTTCCACTACAAAATGCATTTGCTTTAACTGTGCACAAAATACAAGGATTAACATTATCTCATTTCACAGTTTCAATTGATGAATCTATGTTTGCTGCTGGTCAAACTTATGTTGCTTTAAGTCAGTCACAATCATGGGAATCACTAAACATTACATCATTTAATCTATCTGCAATTAAAGTTGATGACCAAATGTTAGTTGAATATACAAGGTTAAATGAGATTTTTAATAGAGGAATTTGTGAATATAGATAAAGAATCAGTGGAACTCAGAATAATTACTAATTAGATAAACACAATTATAATATATAATTGCTTGTTCTATAATAAATTTTACAATAAATTATAAAAATTTTATATTTTCATTACACATCTAAAAATTATAATTTTTAATGATCAGCAAAAAATATATATCTTTATTATTTAATCTATTAATGACATGATATAGTTATGCTGATTAAAATTTCAAATACAAACCATCATAAACAAATAATCCCTTTTGAAAAAGGATCGCTTTAAAAAATAAATTTAAAATGGTATTTGCTATTTTTACCTTGTCCTTGTGAAACAAAGCTCCCCTTAAATCGTGACCGCTAGTTAAATAATATAATTAATTCTTAGTTATTTGTTATTTTAAGGGTTATTACTACTTTGATCAAAATATAACGCTTATTTTTATTCGATTTTTTTATTTTTTTAAACATTAAAAAATGTTCAACAAATGTGATACTGCCCTATTCACACGTTGGGTACCAGAAAAAAATATTTTTATTCAATTTTTTATTTTTAAAAAATGTACAACAAATGTGAACCTGTCCTATTCACACGTTGGGTATGGAAAAAATATTTTTATTCGATTTTTTATTTTAAAAATTGTACAACAAATGTGATACCGCCCTATTTACACCGGAAAAAAATAATTAAAAAATGATTCTGCCCTATTCACACGTTGGGTACCGGAAAAAAATAATTGGCCAGTTAAATTTTAAATATATTTTTAGTTTAAAAAATGAAACTTTTGATGTTTTATTTTATTTAATATAATTTTTTTATCAATTACCTGACTATATTCTTAGGCGAATTAACTTTTCAGATGTTCTAGAATATTACTTTTTTTTCATTCAGCATAATTCTTTTGCATATTTTAATCTCACTAGCATTTTCTTATATCATTCCATTCAAGATATCTTTTCTAAATAAAGTATTAATATACAAATTAAAACATATTTCTCACTCTCATATAGTATTGTTGTGGCTAGAATACTTTCGCTCTCAATGTGTACTGTACATATGTTCGTAGAAATTTTTTATATCATGTATAGTAATAATTGTAAATATACAGCAATATTCAAAATATTCGGTAATCACAGTAATAATGATTCATTAACAATAATAAACGAAAAAGTCTCAATTTTCAAAACAAAATCAAGTTAATCGTAAAATTAAGAATATATTTTTAGGTGTTGAGGAATCATATTAATTTATAAGCAACGGAACTGTAACTTAAAGATTTCTCCTGAGACAAATTCTTTCATAAATAAAACCAAGGATAATAAATATTAGATATTTTTCTAGCAGATATAAATTGTTTATTATGCTTTAGAGAAATCCATGTGAAATAGTTGCAGAAAAATCAAGAACAATAAAACTTTCGGAAAATTATCTTCGTTTTTTTCGCTATAAAGAATTGTAAGCAAGCAATAATAACAAATTTATTAAATAATAATGAAAAATAAAAATTTTGAACAATAAATAATACTTTTAATATTTTTGCGATATGTATAGGATGTCGCTATTATCATCGAATAATATTGATATATTACATAATAAAATATTTTTTAATAATAATAATAAAGGATTAAAGAATAATGCCAAAACTTAAATCAAATAAGTAAAAAAGAGAAAAAATTACGGAAAAAATCAACAAAAAAGCTAATACCATGAGAATAAAGTTTTGGATTGTCGTCCAGATAATTTAGTTCAGGTTGATTAAACTTGGTTAAAGATTAATAATAATATCCTTTCCGTCATTTCCAAAGAACCAAAAAAATAATGATAACAACGAAAAAAGGTACAATTTTAAATATTGAGTAAGTTTGATAAAAATATTTTCCCCTCGTTGAAAATTTAAATGAGGTATATATTTTTTTTTAAAAAAAAATAAATTCTGAAGATTTTAATAACATAAAAAAACATGAACAAAAATAACAATAACAACAACGATAATAATAATAATTAGTATTTATTAGAATGTAATGTAAACTTTCACAAAATATATTTCTTTTAGTACGTTTTAGACATAATAAAATAGCTTGTTAATTGACATAGTATAATAAACTTCCGTCGAGATATAGTATTCCATCGGTTATGACCAATTTGACACTGATAGAATGAATTTATGCGTGATTTCAAGTGTTAGAACCAAGTATGTTGTGTTCTATGCACGGTAAATAATTCTATAGATTAATAAAAAAAAAAATGAATTCTATTGAATAATTGATTTTATACATAAAAATAAATAAATGGATAATTTATCTCATCAATCCAAGAATTCTCTCAATAATCATTGTAAGATATAATTGTGGAAGGAGATAATAAAAAAATGCATGATATTATAGTCATGTAGTTTTATTTTGTATTATACAATTACCATAACAATTCTTTATCAATAACAATAAATATTTTTTATTTTGATAGAATATACATATGCAACATAATACAATATGAAATTTCCATTATAATTTGCAGATCTTTTGTACCACTGAACGGCGGGTCAGTAATTTAATATGTAAATAAAATTTAATGTAACAATATCCGATCTTTCGATTCTTCTGTTTCTCCAGTTTTTTTTTCTTCCAATTTCTTCTCTTCTATTTCTTTAAAATCTAAAAAAGATATTTCCAACAACCACATTATCGAATTATAAAATTCTATTTTGCGTTCATTTGTACAACAATAAAACAGGATTTTCATATAGAAATTTTTAAAAAACATATATGTGAATAAATTGAGTCGTTGATAATAGATAAAAATAGAAAAATAAAAAATAGAAAAATAAAATAGAAAAGTAAACAATAGAAACATAAACAATAGAAAATAATAAAAAATATATTTAAGGAATGTATAAATATAAATTTTTATTTAATATAAATTAAACTTTTTGATTAAAAAAAAGGGTTCCAAAGAAACGCGCAGCCACTTACGGCATTTATGACATGACATTACATAATTTATATTGTTGCCCGGCTTCGCCGACGTAACCTGGTAGTCGAAACAAAGAAATTGATGCAAAAAATTCTTTTTTTTTGAAAATGTATGGTTCCACGAAAAAATCGACGAATTTATTTTTAATTTATTTTTAATTTATTTTTTTCAAAGAAACCGGATTGAAAATCGATGATCTTATCTTAAATAAGCTTCTATATAAAATATCGGTGTTTTATTTCTGGCCGTTCCAAAATAACTACCGGAATTTCTCGCGGATGCATGAAACATCCCAATATCCGACCATAATCCAGAGACTTTTTCAAAAAAAAAAAAAAAAGACATTAACCCCCCTAAACAAAAGCGGCAATTACCGAACAACGATCAACAACACTAGCACAAATACGACCAATTATTCCGAAAACAGTATGGTATGAGAAAAGATTTTTTTATTTTGTTAATAAATTATTTTTTTAATAATAAATAATAAAGAAAAATTAAATTATCATGTGCAATTTTAACTTTTTTATCTTTTGAGAGAAGTTAAATTGTATTTACCAATAATGGTTGCATTTTTAATTAATCAGATTTTTATTTGCAAGATCAAGTGATACTGAAAACGATTTTAATAAACTTCAAAAACGGGTATTTTATTAAAGGCAAACTCAAATGTTGCAGAAAATTTCAGCCATCTGCGATATTATTAGACATTGGAAATCTTAACCGGTTAATTGACTAATTAGGTTTCATTTTAACCGGTTAAGCTTATTTAAATTATTTAATTTATCAATATTTATTTAATCAAGGAGCAATTATACTTTAAAAAATTTTTTTATTATTATTTAAAGTTTATTTTTTTTTTTCATTTTATTAAGTATATTAAATATATAAATAACTTTAATCAAACCTAATTAATTAATCGGATCGTATAAAAATATTAATAAGCGTCGTTACTTTTTTAAGAGATTTCATAGAACTGCATACAATATAGAGTAATTAATACGGCAGCATTGTTGTGTCGTTCATTAAATGATATCTGATGATATCTGATGATATAGTATGTTGCAAAAATTCTATTTTATATAGTGTATTAAACTTATGTATATTAAATCTATTTTTCAAATATTAAAAAATAAAAAATAAATATTTTTTTTGACTATCCTTACATGAGTATATATCTCTTAATATAAGTTTTAATTGCATTAAAACACTTCAAACTAACAAACTTCACATTCTCTTATCAAATTTTCCTCCGATTGTGTTTTTTTCTTTTCGATAATAACTTTTTGAAAAAAAAATCATATAAGTGTAACTGTAGGTTGCAGTTAATGCTAATTAGTGTCTCACAATAAATTTGGCGCAAATATTTTGGTTAGGATTTAAGGTTAATTGATATGATTGATGATTGATGAATGATTGATTGATGATGATTGACGATGATCAACAGACACTTAATTTGGAAATTCGTAATTGAAGTTTAATTACTTTTCAATGAATTATTTATTTATTAAAATATAAATATTGTTTATACAAAATTTCCTATTATTGTGAACTGTTGTCTATTAATAGTACAAGGAAATTTTTAATTTAACATATTTAGCATGAAAACAATTCATACCATACGCGATTAATATAAAATTCTTTATCACAATAAGGAACAATTGGAAAATTTGTTATAAAAGGGGAGTGAATTCAACCAAGGGCTCCTCAGTTTTTCGAAACTAATATTTCATTTTATAAAGAAAAGTAATACAATTATTTCTTTTACTTCCATAAAATAAAATAATTATCATTATGAATAAATTCTTAGTATACCTTTTCTTCGCTCTCGTAGCTACATCTTTTGTTCTCGCTGCTCCAGCAGCTGACTTTGAAAGACGTAAATATCAACCAACTGTAACTGTAACATCACACTGTACCACAACCACAACCAAAACCGCAACTGTAACCACACACTGCACCACCACGACAACCAAAGTTTCAACCACCACTTGTACTAAATTCCGTAACAAGACCAAATACTGTACTACAACCGTACCAACAACCAAATACTGTACTACAACCGTACCAACCACCGTTTACTGTACAACAACAGTACCCACTACTGTCACTTGTTATAAAACCTTAGACCCTATTACTTTAGACCCTGTCACCAAAACCTGTACTGTAACCGCAGCCCCAGTCACCAAAACCTGCACTGTAACCGTGACTCTCGCCCCTCTTACCGTGACTGCTGATCCAGTCACCAAATACTGTACCGTCACCGCCGAACCAGTCACCAAAACCTGTACTGTAACTGTAACTCTCGCCCCTATTACCGTAACTGCTGAACCAGTCACTAAATACTGTACCGTGACCGCAGATCCAACAGTCACCTGTACCACGACCAAAACTTGTTCCACGACTGTTACTTGTTCCACAACCACGACTAAAACTTGTTCCACAACCACAACTAAAACTTGTTCCACAACCACAACTAAAACTTGTTCCACAACCACTACCGTCACTTGTACCGCTACTCCTCACTAATTCTTTATAATATTAGATACCTCCTAGAATGGTTTAAATTGAACGTTTTCTAATAAAAAGTTTACTTATATTTATTGTATTTTTAGTTTCCGATTTAATATTTTGTATTAGTAATTTTATTCAAGTATTGTTAAAAGAAATAATTATAATAAACTAATTTGGTGCTTTATTATTAAAAAGTCTATATACTTATGGCCTGACATTTTTATAAACATACGTTTTTATTTTGGGAATGCATCCATCTTTATGATGACCCTCCGCAGTTCATTATAAAATAATTAATATTATAATGAAAATTCGATTATAATTAATTATTAATAAATTTTGATATCAAAGAATACATTTGATTTTAAGCCCCATGATGTCTAAATTCTATTTTCTAGTTTCAAACACTGATAATCTACTAATTTACTGTCTTCCTCTCGTTTTTCTATATCGGTCGTAATTAAAATGATTACTTGATTAAAGTCAAATTTACAAAGAAATACTGATGTCTTGTGTTTTATTTTATTTTTATTTTTATTTTTTTTTTTAAAAAAAAGTGTTATCAAAGTCTCACGTATCATGTCCATGGATATTAAGAATTAGAGTGGAGTGTAAAACTTTTTCTTGTGAAAACACTTGCGTTCATCGAATTAAGAAAATATTCTCATAGCTGATATTTTAGACAAATAAATAAGGGGATGGTCTTTTTATCATAATGAAGCTAAAAGTATATACATATGATATCTGTTGTATTAGAAATACATTTCTAAAAAGGGTTCTTCACTTGTAAATTTAGAAATGAGACAATGTGAATTAAAGTACAGATTTTGGTAAATTCGATCATAGCTCGCGAGCCTATAATCGTGGTAATAATCATTTCATTTAATAACAGTGTATACAGCTTAAAATATCTAAATTTAAAGTATTACTATTTATAAAATGATGAAAAAATTCTAAACGATGAACGAGACAAGTGAGACTTACAATTTAATATATTGTTATTGATAACACAGTCGCGAATAAATAGTTTTCTTAATTCGTCGCCCCAACGTCATTTTACTTGTATATTGTGTCGCACAAAATAATCTTATTAGCGATATTCATCAAAGTCTTTTTTAACATCTCACCACCACAACTTTATTTTTCTATTAATATTAATTAACAATAAATGATTACATTATATTTTAAATAATAAATAATTTAAATAATTATAAATTATTCTAAAGTAATTTCTTTTACTCCTTCTCTATTACTTTCAATTTCAATTTCTTCAATTTCATCATCATCATTATCGTAATAATCAAAAACATTTGGTTGTAAGTTCTTTATTATGTCTATTATTATTATTATTATTATTATTTGGTGCAGAATTTCATGATTGATGACTAAAGAATGAAAAAGTTGAGAAAGTTGTTGGATGATGATGGTGATGGTTGATTGAGAAGTAACAATTTCTATATCATTAATGTTTTTAGTGTCATTTCTTTGCATCGTCATCATTATTATCGGGAAAGAGGAATCGATTTTCGATACAATTATTTATGTGCTATAATAAATACAATAAAGATGATTTTATTTAATAATCCAATAAAAACTAAAATAGTAATAATAAAATAATAATAATAATAATAATAATAATAATAATAATAATAATAATAATAATAAACTCACTTAATTTTATATCCGAAAGATATTCCATTGTCATCGACTAATAACGATAAAGTTATAAATATATTATATAATTATAATTTACTAATAATATAATTTATATGATTTACTCACTGAAATATTGCAATAATAAAGAAAAGTAATAATTCATCAAATCAAATAATAAATGACTTTAAAGTCCAGCTAAATCTAAGTAATAAATTCAAAATAATAAATTATTGAATTATTTTTAAATTCTAATTCGTCTCGAAATAAAAAATTTAAAATATTAAATTTAAATAATGCCCAATCCATTTTTATATCACATAAGAATAGATTATAAAAGCACTTGACATATTAGTAAAATGTTGTCATTTTTCCTTAATTATTAAATTATAAAGAATTATTAAAGAATTATTATTAAATTAAAGAATTATTAAATTAAAGAATATTTACCTGTTAAACACATTCCAATTCCTATCCAAACTGTAAATATACTTAAAAAATATTTTCTAGCATTTAATAAATGAGGGAATTCCCTATTGGTATCTTTATAACGTCTATAACATTGATTAAATCGCTAAAATGTTGGTAAACATGCTATGATAGGTGTTTAAATAAATTTTTGGGTAGTAGAACAATCTAAAATATTATAAAATATTTTTTATTTTAACGATAAATAACGATGTAAGAAATTTCAAAGAAATTAAAAAAATAATTCTAGTTTGGGATTTACCTGTAGCGAAACAACCTATATTATTGAAAACGGTTAATAAGTATGTTAGACTATTTAATTCAAACGCAATAAAGAAATCTCGAATTTGATGATATAATGTAGGTAATAGACAGAAAGTATTGACAAGTATATTATTCTCAATAGAGAGGATAGTTGTTGTTCACGTTAGATTTTAAATTTGGGATTGATAACATTCTTTAAAATATAGATAATAATTATAAATATATAATCGATATGATTAAATAAAAGTATATGATTTACAGATTTAACAAATAGATGAGCATTTTGATCTTTTATTTTTTTATTTTTTAATCAACTGGTTAATTAACAAGTTAATTTATTAATTAATTATGTAAAAATAATTCATCTTGAATTAATCTTGATTTATTATAGTTCAATTTTTATTTAAATATAATTAATCTTAATAATTAACCAGTTAAGTATTTTTAACCGGTTTAACTGTTTAACTGCGATTAACTTGTTAAACGGTTAACGGTTCCAATCTAGCTAAAAGTTACGTGATTTTTAATCACATTATTGGTTAAAATGTCATCTTTCACGTGAAATCAGTTTTTTTTAGACAACAGATTTTTTTGCATGATCGCCGTAGTATAGAATTCTAGCCCAATATTATTCCTTTTTCTGTGAAGTCACGGCACAAAATGCTTTCGTCCAATTTGTGAATACTGGGAAGACCTAAGCAAAATATTTTGCCATCGACACCCCTTTTTGGGAAGATTTTCGTTCCGAAATGAAAAAAAAAAGGTCAAGAATTTAATATTTCGTATCGAATACATGATCGAGAACACACCGTACTTACTCGATACCATTCAGAAGAATGACCACACCGCCCACCCAGAGAATAGCTGGCATTTATATAATTTTTGAATATTTTTTTTACTGCTTATAAAATAAATAAAATAGTAAAAGAAAAAGAATCTTTTTTTCATAACGATCATTTGTTAATGATCATCACAAAATGCAATTATTGATATATGTTTACAAATTAAATATAAATTATTCCTCGATTTGCTCTTTTTGATGCGAATGAAAAAAAAATAATTTTTTATTTCTTTATTTTTTCGATCCACCAAATTTTTAAACAAAGTATTAAGACAACCATAAACTTTAATTATTTGATAATTATTGTTTACAAATTAAATATAAAATATATTTTATTAAAATAATAATTATTCCTCGATTTTCAATCTTCTTCATGTGTATTTGTAATTTTCTTATTTCTTGATTTTTTTTTTTGATCTACTTAATTTTTAAACGAAGTACAAAGGATTACTATTTTTTTTAAAAAAATAATTTAATTAATAATTAAAAAAATAAAATAATTTAAATAATTAATAATTATTCAACAATCAATATCATTTATTTTTCCATTTTTTTTTTATTTTTTATCGTTTTTTTATATATTATTATAGGATGTCAATGAACGAGATACAAACGAATTTATTATAAAAGAAATAACTACAACCCCAAGATCAAGTGATATTGATTCTGCTGAAATTATTTATTTATTTACGAATAAAGTCTCTATTCTGTTAGCCAAGAAATTGAAACTAATAAAGAAGATTTTGAAATTGGACAGGTAATATTACTAAAGTGTAAATTTATTACCTACAAAGGTTGGTATGCATTAAGTTTCTCTTTTGTTCTCCTTTGTTATTATCTATCTTTTTCTCTCGCTCTTACTCTCTATTTCTCTCTCACTCTTCATTTCTCTCACACACTTTTTTTTTTCACTTTTTCGATTAAGTTAAATAATATAATTAATTCTTAGTTTGACCCTATTCACGTGATGGGTATCGGAAAAAAACAATTGACTAGTATAATAATTATAAAAATATTATAAAAAAATATAAAAATTAATTTTTGAAAATACCTCAAGAAATTGTCGAAAATTTAAATTATTCCTTGGATTACATTCAAATATAAACTTATAATTTATGTGATTTCTTGTCCAAATATATTAAAAATTGATATAAATATTATAAATAAAAAATATTTTTGTAATAAATGAATCAACTCTTCATTGAAAGTATTTAAGATTATATAAATATAAATTGTATAGAATTAGGAAATGGAATTAGGATAAGGATATTATTTTACTTACTCCATGTTAACAAATAATAAATCATTGGAATAACTAATTCAATATAAATACCAATGTGCCATGATACAAAATGATATCTCTTGAGTAATAAAAAAAACAATAATTTTAATGAATTTTTTTTTTTATGATTGTTTGGAAGTCACAATTTTCGCATTGCCCGATTTCTTACTTCTACAAAATTATCGACATAAAAGGTCTATTTTAAATATTTTAAATTTATAGAACACGTGTTATAAGTAAAAAAGTTAACTTTAAAATTTATATATAATTTATATGATTTATAGTGTTACCGTTGATGATTTGGGCTAAACCGTCCAAACCTGCCCATATTTTTTTCTATCTTTTAATTTTACTGATAATATTGCTCCAATAACCACTCACAATAGTAGTCCTAAACCTAAGGAAGTAAATAAAAATTTTACCCATAGCAAAAAGTCCTTTTACATTTCATCTTTTAGTTTAGCCCGTTTAGTGTTACTTATTAATACTTAATAACTATCTATGAAATAATATTCATTTACTATTAGCACAAAAATCTCACGTTCATTATTGAGTGAAGGTGAATTATATATTATTAAGTAATTTTTAAGGAATTATATTAATAAATTTATTAAATTTAGATTTTTAGAAACTTCATTAAACTTATTTTAAAATCCTTTAAAAAATAATTGGGTGAGTGAATTTCTAGATAATTCGAGAGTGCCAATTTAATTTCAATAAATTTATTTTATATTTTAAAAAACAAAAACTTTAAATCACACCAGTGATGTTGAACATCATAACCTATACCGCAGGGGTTAGGGTTAGGATTTTTCAAGGGTAGTGTATTTATCACCGTGTGTCACGCCCTTCGAATATCAATTTTTATTAGATATTCTAGTGACTTGCTAGATTATTTATAAACTTACGAGACCTTCTACAGCCACGTTTTTGAGTATCTCACGCTTCTTCAGATGGTACGGTTGTTATAGCTATAGTGTTGGTGACAGTAATGAAGTAGAAGTTGCTTAAAGAATTTTATTTAAAAAAATAATAATAAATATAATTTTTTTTAAAATCCATTTTTTCAATTCTCATTCCTTTTTCTGCCAATTTAGCAGACCTTCTTGATGGAATTTGTTCGTTTGGAGTCTTTCTTTAAAGAATTATTACTACCTCTTGGATAGTAAATAAAATTTAAAAGTGCTTAACTAACCCAAAAATAAATCGATTTTTTCGTGGGAAATTAAATTATATACTGTAAAATATACAATAGATGTATGAAATTTTATTATATACAAAAATAATAAAATATCACAAAAATTTAAGCTAAAAACATATTTAAAGTCGCTTGGAATTTTTTCAATTCATTTTTTTTTAATTACAATCTTAATATATCTAAAGACAAGGTATATCATCTCGTTGAAAAATCTATTCAATTGTCAAAATTAAAATACATATGAATTTTATTTTTGTCTCATTTCATACTTTTTTTAATAAATATGTACTTGATTTGTTATTGCAAAAAGTGAAAAAATGTGAAAACTAGTTTAATAAGTTCTTTATTTAAAATTTTTGTTTTTTTTTAAAAAAAACGATTTAATAATGTCATACCTCTAAAAGAAAAATTTAGAGTGATTAAACTTTGATTTTTGTTATTTTTGTATGATATATGAATAAAAGTGATGTAATGTGATTTTTTTAATAATATTTAACAATGTGTCACTAATTAATTTCAAAATTCCACATTTTTTTGACCTAATCAATTAAAAATTTGGTTAAAGAAATTTTTTGGGATTGAATTTATTTGTCAGAGTATTTTAATATAATTTTATGAAACAAAATTTTTACAAAATACTAATAGCAAATTTTAGCAAAATCGATCCAAAATTTTTTGCTTAGTAAAATATAAGAAGTCTAAAATTTCTCTATATATACTACTAAATATAATTCCACGGAAACAAAATTTGAAAATTTAAAAATATCTGCCCACCCTTAAATTATGTGTACTTTTAAATTATTCAGTAAAAAATTTTTTTAATTAATGCTCACCTGTTTTATAAAATATAAATTATTATATTAAATAATTCTTCATCGAGAACACACAATCATCTCTTTTTGGAAATCTAATATCTATGAAATAATATCATTTATATCATGTCATATTAATTGTAACAAAAAAAAAACAAAATATTATAAAATATCAATATCCTTATCCCATTATCAGCATTGGAAACTGTCATATTTGTTATTATTATTTTAGCATATGTACAACTTTAGTTATTACAACTAGTACCCATTTGTATAATAATGTTTTTATTTCTTTAAATTAATAAATAAATAAAAAAAAATCTTACAGGAAATGGAATGACAGTTAAAAAATGTGAATTCTTTGATTTCTTACTAAATAATTTTTTTTTTTGCTTCGAAATGAAAGTTCTAATTTTATTGCATTTTTTTTCAAAAACTGATGATGACTAATAATATATTTTGTTGAAAGGAATCTGTTCCTTATAATACAATCTTTTTAATTTTTAGAAATGAATTAAAGACTTAATTCGTAATCCATGATAGAAGTAAACTGATAAAGTCAAAAAAGTGAAATCTGCGTTTGCCTTATAGTGAAGTCATGAACTATCAAGAAAAGAACATTTTTTATTTTTATAAATTTAAAGTTAGGTTATATACTATAAGTACTGATTGTAATTACAGTTTGATGTTTCAATGCTTATAACTTTGTGAAATTATTCAAAGAATTTATTTAATCAGGTTCATTAATAATGGTTTCCCAGATTTTACTAATTAATTTGACTACTTCAATCACGGATCACGGAATTAAGTAACTAGACATAATACTGTAAATTCAAAAATTTTATTTAACACACACGAACTCTGTTAAATGTAGAACAAATTTTATGATGCTGGATTACTATCTTATTAGAAATCAAGGCATTTAGCGAGCCTTATGAAATGATTAAAAAAATCTTGAACTTTTTCTTCAATCTGACAAAAATTATATATTAATAAACAAATAATAATTATAGAATGAAATTTAGAAACAATTCATTTAAAAAAATGGTTTTCTACATTCGAATTTAGATTTGAATTCTGAAATTGAATTTTTGAATATCACAATATCTTTTATTCCATAATCTCTCTCTCTCATAATGGTGGAGTAACAGCTCATATAGCTTTATTATTCTCTTAGTAAATTCTTTCTTTTAGAGACGTTTCTTTCTTTTATTTTTAGAGGAACAAGAATATGCGTGTATTATAAATTTACTACTATCGAACAAAAAACATAAGGCTTTGACAATATCAAAAATGCTCCCGCTAACATTGTTAACGAATAACTTAATCTCAGAAAAACGATCTGCAAAGTATTACGTTTAATTTCTCTCTAGGTTAGGAAATCCAGTAAAAATAATTCCTATAGCTTTTCTTATAATATGAACGAATAATAATTACTCATAGTGCTAAACTATATACAGTATGTCTATAAAGAGATATTTAATCTTTCGGAAGCTTGCTATGCATTATTATGACAATGATATGAATAAAAACAACAACAATAATAATAAGACAAAGTGGCTGTGGCTACGTTAAAATTTTTCATTACGATTCGCTAAGAGTATTAATAATAAAATAAAGATACAGCTCAGTGACAATAATTAAAGAAATGGATTATAGTTCATTAATGATTATTAATTAAAATTAAAATAATAGGATCATTTATTAAATCTTATCTTAACTATAAAGGTTACATACATATATGTCGAATAAACAAATTACAAGTAAGTCGAATTATTCGGATATGATACGATCAGATCCGATATTTTTAATTCTTAATCCAGATTCGTCATATACGGATCATCCGAATCCTGTTTTTATTGTTTTTATTGTATTCGGATCAATCCGAATATTTATAAATATTCATCAAATATTCGAATATTCGTATCCATTTTATGAATTTGAATTAAAAAAAATTTGAAGATCCGATCTGGATTCGATTCGCGGATTCAAATATTTTTGCGGAACCTTATCAACTAAAACTTCAAATAATTAGATGGTAATTATTTTTTAAATTTCGTATCGATTGTGTAGATTGTAAATTATGTTAGTGAATTAGTTAAGGATGAAAAATAAAAATATAGCATAAAAATTGATTCTATTACTAAATTCACTCATAATATCAAAAAAAGTTCGAAGGTTAATTCTTAATCGAATTTAATATATTTATATTTCTTAAATCGAGAAACTTGAATTGATATATAATCTCATCTTTTTGCAAAACTCTCCATGAGAAGGTCACGGAAAAAAAAAATAGGTCGTAAAATAGCGTTTGCAAACCAAAATCAAATTGAGCAACCTAATTCCCACGATTTTATCACAAATTAAAAATAAATAAAATCTGGGCAGTCATATATTTCTAGGGTATGTATCGCAGCAGTATTCAACCTCGTCCATATTAACATAATTGAAGAACTACTGCTTGCTTCGGTAGCATTGAAGTACGAATTTTCATGTATATGCCTCAATGTAGTATTGTATGTGATTTCAGATTGTTGAGGTGTAGGCTTCCGCCGATCGTAATATGTAGGCAAAATTGTGTTTCCGATTCTTGAGAGGGAGGTTTCAGTTCTGGACATCCGATTGTTGGATCCATTACTTGGAAAGTTGATTGCTTCCTCATATCCAGAGGCGGAAATATATTGTTGAGGTGCAGGTCTATGTATGCTTCTACCGATTGTACTATGTAGGCAAAATTGTGTTTCCAATTCTTGAGAGGGAGGTTTCAGTTCTGGAACATCCGATTGTTGGACTTCAACCATTCTATTACTTGAAAGTTGATTGCTTCCTCATATTCAGATGAGGAAATGATTTTTTCACTGACTTTGTTTTCTTTCGTCTTATAATGAATGTAAACCCATTGACAAAACATTCCTGATATTCATCAGGAATTGTCCAATACCCCTTTCTCGCTTTCTTTCATCCCGGTCACAATGACGAAAAAGGGTTAAGGTGTGCCGAATGGTATTCCATAAATATATTATTAATATTATTATTACTATATATTATTATATTAATTCAATAACATTGTGAAAATTTATTATACATACCTGCCAACCTTTATTTTCTATCTTATAGAACGGATAGGTACTGGCGATCCACCCGCGTATTTCACTTAGCAGACATTTCTTATCAGGAGCATACAAAATAGCTTGACCGATTAATGACTTGTACGTATGGAAAGACTTAGAACCAACGCTTGAATTGTCATTAGTATACACCTCCTTTTTGATCAACCTAATTTACAAAAAAAGTTAATTAATGAAAATTACTTATATGCGATTCATTTTAACAATGACTTTTCTATTAATGCTAATTACAATCGCGTGCAGGTTACTATCCCACAAATTATGTAAGTTATTTTATTCTTTTAGAATATTATTTTTCATTTAGTTTTTTTTTTTATGCAAATAATTCATATTTTTATTTCTACCACTTACTATTTTGATACTTACCCTTTGTTCATTCTTAACATTATTCAAAATATCAGCTTCGGGCTCCACTTTCGAAGCAGTGGTTGTTTGCTGATGATTAATTGATTATTGTTCATTTGATAATTGTTCAAGTAATTGGAGGGAAAAAATTTTTTTTACGAATTTGATTTTTTAAGTTATTGCGTGTGTCATTTAGATACACATTACAATCAAAAAGGAAAATTTTGTTGATTCGGGGGGGTTTATGTTATTTTTATATGACTGTATATTTAATTTATTCCCCACGTATTAAAAAAAATAAACAAATTTGTTCTACAATTATTAGAGTTTTTACGGAAAATTATTTGCATTATTTTTTTTGGCATTATATGAGATTACTCCTATTGTTAACTGTAGATCAAATTTGTTTATTTTTTTTTAATACAAAGAATTATTGTAATACAGATATTAAAAACGTGACTTTAGCATCAAATAAATACCAAAATTTGATATTAAATATTTTGTTGTATTTTATAAAAAAAATGAAGTAAAAAAAAATTATTCAAAAAATTACGTGAAAAATGGAACAAAAAAAGGAGGTTTATATAAATTTGAGAGTTATACAAATATTAAAAATGGTAAATAATGGCGCATGAAATATGATAAAAAATCACGCAATTTCAAATAAGTGACTGTTTTTTATTTGTACAAAATAAAGGCTGAATTTTATTGTAATAAATAAAGTCATTAGGAGTTGTTACCTCGTGTCCCCGGAGCATTCAAAATGCCATCATAGCTTTATATATTATTACCAGGCATTCAAAAGATAAAAAGAATATTCTTTTAAAACCTGTAGTGTTTATATATACATAATTTATCCGTACGTATTTAAACAAAGTTCCTTTAAGTTATTAAACTATCTCCTTGTTTGTTTGTTATCCTTATTTAAACTATCTTCTTTCTTTTCTCTTTAACACTGTTATTTTTTTTACTACTAAAAATAATATCTAAATAAAAAAAAAAGTATTTACAAGGAATTCCATTATCGAAGGTTGAAAATTTCTGTCTTACGAACCTAAATTACAGTGTAACAACTTTATTACGGGGTTAATGGATAAGAAGAAAAAATTTCCCTAAATTCTTAGTGTGTACCATTTAATTTGAATGATCCCGTTTGAAATATAGATATACGTAATGATATCGCTTAATACATAATAATCTTGTATAATTGTATAATGAAGACCATTTAACGAATACCCTTTCTAATTACGTGAGCTGTATGGCTATGACAACTAGTTTTATATATAACTAATCTTTACGTAACTAGTTTAACATAAATAATACAAAATGAAATAATTTAACTATATCTATTCAAATTTAATTAATTGTTTCAATTTAAATTTATTCATATCAATTAAAATTTTTAATTACTGAGGTGGCACGAATTTGATCGAAATCACGGAAGATGATTCGAGATGATATGTTAACTATTTGGATGAATTATCTTTGTGCTTCATCCTTCATCCAAGATTACTGTTTATTCATCCCCCGTGATTATGGATGATGAAGGATGAAGGTAAATAAAGGGTAAAAATCTAAAATAGCTGCGGGTAGGGAAGAAAAACAGGAGATTCCTTTTGGGCCTTAACAAAAAAGAGGACATTTTTATTTCTTATTTCTTTCTTTTTTTTTTATATTTGTAATAACCCTAATAATAATAAATAATTTAGTGTACGAAATAACAAAAATGATAAGATACGCCAAAGCAGTAATATATCTCTATTGTAATATTCCTACATTAAACTTTAATAAAATTTAATAAACTATTTCTTTTATTTCTTGGCAAAGTTACATAAAAGTCTGTTCAGTTTTGGTAGTATGCAAGCGGTAATAAAGATACTTTTACTCTACTAGCTCATCGTACCTTCAGATATTACATTAAGTGTGATTGTTAGTAAGCAGGTTTAGATCGACTTACTAAGTGAGAATATTATTAGAAAATACATTAACCATTGTCAAATGAAGATCACTATGAAAATAATTTCATATGCCTGCATTATTAGTAAATAATAATGATATTTAAATCTTAAATCTTTTATTATACATATCTTTCGTATTGTGCATTTCGTATATCGATAATAATAATAATTATTATCTAAAAGGTGTGGTGTGATCGAGGTATTTTTGTATGTAAATAAATAATCTGAAATTACTGCGTGACGTCGTCTTATAACAATATCATGACTCCATCAAGCCCGAAGGAATAGCCTTCGGGCACTATTGATATCTCTATCTATTTTTATATTGCAATTCTTGCATTTGTATATTTCTGATCCTCCAATATTCTGAATTTTCCACACCAAATGCATGTCTTTGATGTGTAAGCTTCATTTTGAATTATCACATGGATTTCTTTCTCTTCTGCTTTTGAAATCAATCGTTGTCGAAACTTGTAATGAGACTAATAAAGCATCTTTCATATATCAAATGATCAAAATTTTTGGCTTAGTCTATTCACTTATTATCATCCACAAATCTCCCTGCCCTATTGGCACTAAAAATTTTGTCTATTTTTCTTCATTCGACCAGTGAAAGTTGCTAAAAGATCATATAAACCGTCAGCTTTGATTCTTCGCTCATCTGTCAATAAACAAATCACAAGCAAGCAAAAAAAAAATCAAAACTCGTCATCTTTTGTTAGCAGATGCAAATCCTAATCCCTACTCTACTTAATTGAACACGATAAAGATTTACTTAATTTTAAAATTTTCATAATATTAAAATTAATTGAATTCATTTATAATGAATAAACTAATATTAATAAAAATATATGATTTATTTTTAATGATATTTTTTGATAAGCTTTGAGTTGAGTCATAATAAATACCTACATAAGTTTAATTATGATATAATGAATGCTCTTATTGCATTTAATTAATTAAAATATTACTTTTTATATGGTCTCTGATTTTATATTATGATTCTTATACTAGTATAAATATATAATTAAATTTATTTAAAATTCGAGATTTCTTTAAAGATTTTTTCTAAAAAAAAAAAATAAAATAAATACATATTGTAAAAAAAATCATCATCAGGATTAAATTTGCATCCATCAATTGTACAATTTCAAATCGGAAGAAAACAAAATGATATAAAATATATCTCTATAAACACGTAAACAATATAAATGTCACAAAAAATTAATCTTACTGAATTGCTCCTTAAAATAAAAGTAATAAACCATCCTCATAATAGGATTTAACATATTTCTTAAAGCGAAAACTTGAATTGACTTGTATATAATCCCATCTTTTTACAAAACTCTCTATGAAAAGGGGGCACTCAAAAAAAAAAAAAATTACATATCAAACAAAAAACTTAAAAATTATCTTTGAAATTGTTTTACCAGATTACTGAATTCTTTACGCTTCGTTTGTTTCGGTTTCTTCAATTTCATAGTTCAGAATTCCGTTTTTATTATCTCAACCTCAGCCATATTAACGTAGTCGTATGGAGCTGATAAAGAACTATTGCTTGCTTCAGTAGCATTGAAGTACGAAATTTCATGTATATACCTCATTATAGTATTGTAAGTTATTTCAGATCGTTGAGATGTAGGTCTATGTATGCTTCCACGGATCGTACTATGTGGGCTAAATTGTGTTGCCAATTCTTGAGAAGAAGGTGTCAGTTCTGGAATTTCCGATCGTTGGATTTCAACCGTTTCATTACTTGAAGAGTTTATTGCTTCCCCACATCCGGAGAAGGAAGCATTTTCTTCACTGGCTTTGATTTCTTTCGCCTTATTGTTGTTGTAAACCCCGTTGACGAAACATGCCTGATATTCATCAGGGATTGCCCAAAAACCTTTTCCTCGCTTCCTGTCATCCCTTTCACAATGACGAAAAGCAGGACAAATGGTTAAGGTATGCCGAATGGAATTCTATAATATATTATTAGTATTATTGTTAATATATATTATTAGTGTAATTCAATAACATTGTAAAATTTTATTATACATACCTGCCAACCTTTATTTTCCATCTTATAGAACGGATATTTGTTGGTGATCCATCTACGTATTTCATATAGCTGACATTTCTTATCAGTAGAGGTTAAAATAGCCTGACCGATTAATGAAATATATGAATAGAGAGGCCTTGCATTATCATTAGTAATGCTATTATCTCCTTCCTGATCGATCTAATTTATAAATAAAGCTAATTAATACAAATTACTTATATGCGATTCATTTCTAACAATGACTTTCTATTCACAGCAAGTTACAATCACGTGCAAGTAGTTGCTTCACAGATTATGTAAAGTTATTTTGTTCTTTTAAATATTATTTTTATTAAGTTTTTTTTACTATCGCTTATTTTGTATATTGATACTTACCCTTTGTTCATTCTGAACATTATTAATAATATCAACTTGTGAGGCAACGGTAATTTGCTGAAAATTATATTGATTACTATTCATTTGATATTTTTCATTTAATTACAAGTAACTGGTAATAGAGAATAAATATTTTTGTAAAGAATTTGATTTTTTTAAAAAAACGAGAATTTATAATTTTAATGAAATTAGTATATTTTGAAGATCAAATTTGTTTACATTTTGATTTTGAAATCAAAACAAATATCGGAATCATGCGCATTATATTGTTGAAGATCAAAATACATATCAATACATATATTGTATATTGATTGAAAAACAAACGAGTCGAGTACATAGTATATATATTATTTTGAAGATCAAAATTTGTTTGATTTAACTAGTATACGTTACATACGCATCATACATTATCATATCAATATAAGGTAATAAATAGTCTGGTTAGTAATGTACGAGTTCTAAAATAAGAGTTGAGTACGGAGTAATACGGAAAGGTGTGGAGTCCGGTCGACCAGATGAGTGGAGTACAGCAATGGAAAAACAAGTACACATGTGTTCAAGTATTTTAACCCATGTCTAACTCTAAATAACTGACCAATCCCTAACACCCTAACCCTACCCTAACTTTAATCACATGATATTTAAGAGTTTTTTTTACACCTTTGTACACCGTACGCAACTCCTATTTTATGCCTGTACACCACTCATCTGGTTGACCAGACTCCACACCTTTCTGTAATACCTTTGAGTACGCTGTGTACGCTGTGTACGCTGTACAAAGTTGTTAAAGTTAGGTCATGTGTTAGAACATTTGTACACATTTGTACTTTATTTTTATATGACCGTACATAACTCATCTAGTTGACTAGACTCCGTAGGACCATATTATAGGGTATCTTGGGTGAGAAATAAGTTTTCTCTAAAAGTATATATAAGAGAAAACTACTATTATAAATATTAATGTCTTCACACAAATAGTAACTCTCTAAAATGATCTATAAGACCGCAACGAATTTTGATTTTACGAATTTCTTGATATAACGGGTATTTATTTGGCCGATTTTTTATAAATAAAAAAATGAGTACGAAGTTAACCCAATTTATTTTGATCGATATAGCACCTAATTAATTAATTAATTGAATGATAACTACTATTAATTATATTAATTAATATTAAACTTTAATATTTGAAAAACCAAAAATCGTTAATGTCACCTGAAATAATAATATTAACAGATAAAAGTAAGATTGAATGTAATCAAATATTATGTAATAATGTAAAATGAATATCCACAATATAGGTTTCGATATTAAATTTTTTATTTAATATTTTATTCATGTAAAATATTATTATTTTATTTTATTGAATAATTCGTTTAGAAAATAACTATCTTAATTAAAATTACCCATCCCTTTTGGATTACTATCAATATTATAATGATATTCACTAAAACTTTTATAATATGAAAATTTATTTATCTTAAGCATAAATATTCTCTATAGTAATAAATCTAAAGAATAATCGTGATGGGAGATTTCCATTCGTATGGAACAACCTTGTGATGTTGAATATTCGGAATTAAAATAAATTTTGCAATTCGATTTTTTAAAATGACACTTTTCAGTTGGAAAAATCAACATTCACTTGAAAAATCTATTGTGTATATTATATCAATTTTCAATTTTTATTTGAGCCATTTATTCTTTTTCATTAAAATAATAATTTTCGTTATTTTTTCACATTTAATTTCTTTTGGTAAAAAGGTCCGTAGCTATAGTCCAAGTCGCTGCATCAAGCCTGAAAGTTATGAGATGCACTTTTGCGGTATGATTAATTCGCTCCTTTGACGATCACCATTTTGTCCAAATAATTAGATTATTATTTTGTGTAACATGTCATTTTTTTGTAATCATAATTACACTCGTTTGTCCCACGTATCGAAATATTTGATCTACAGTTAACTAATTTATATGTTTACTTTTTTTAAAATAAAACGTTATTCTCCAGTTACTTGAGCAATCATCAAATGAATAATAATCAATATTATTATCAGTAAACAACCGCTACCTCGAAAGTGGAGCCCGAAGCTGATATTTTGAATAACGTTCAGAATGAACAAAGGGCAAGTAATAGAGAATATACAAATAAGCGGTAGAAATGAAATAAGAATTATTTTAAAGAAAAATTTAATAAAAAAAATATATGAAAGAATAAAATAACTTACATAATTTGTGGGATAACAACTTGAACGCGATCTTAATTAGTATGAATAGAAATGTCATTGTTAAAAACGAATCGCATATACTGTAAGTAATTTATTAATTAGCTTTGTTTATAAATTAGGTCGAACAAGAAGGAGATAATAGCATTACTAATGCAAGGCCTCCCTATTCATATGTCATTAATCGGTCAAGCTATTTTGGCTGCTCCTGGTAATAAATGTCAACTAAATGTCATACGTAGATGGATCACAAATACTTATCCATTCTATTAGATGGAAAATAAAGGTTGGCAGGTGTGTATAATAAAATTTTTATAATGTTATTGAATTACACTAATAATATATATTAACAATAATATTACTAATATATTATAGAATTCCATTCGGCACATTTTAACCCTTTGCCTTACTTTTCGTCATTGTGAAAGGGATGACAGGAAGCGAGGAAAGGTTTTGGACAATTCCTGATGAATATCAGGAATGTTTCGTCAGCGGGTTTGCAACAACAATAAGGCGAAAGAAATCAAAGCCAGTGAAGAAAATGCTTTCGTCTCCGGATCTGGGGAAGCAATAAACTCTTCAAGTAATGGAACGGTTGAAGTCCTACAACCAGGTGTTCCAAAACTGAAACCTTCCTCTCAAGAATTGGCAACAAAATTTTGCTTACATAGTACGATCTGTGGAAGCATACATAGACCTACACCTCAACAACCTGAAATAACATATAATACTATAATGAGGTGTATACAGGACAAACAAAACAGAAAATACAACCTGGAAACTGGGTGTTACTGAATATTGCTGCGATTTGAATATGATCAAAAAACATATTTTGCATCACAATTACGCAAAAGTTTCATTTTTGATCGACTTATGGTTATTTTTTTTGATAATCAAAATACTCGTGAAAAAAATGGTCATTTTTTGATATGCCTTTAATTATTTATTTATAGATACATCAAAAAGATAACTATTTTGTCATATGAAAATTTGATATATCAAAAAAATAACCATAGATCTATCAAAAACCAAGTCTTTGCCACAATTACATGTCCCAGAAATATTATATATGACTGGACTGCCAGATTTATTTATTTATTTTTAATTTGCGGTAAAATTGTGGATGGTTACCGGAATTTGCTCAAATTTGATTTTTTTTAAGTTTATTTGATTTGTAACGCCATTTTTTTTTGGTTGATCTTTTTCTAATTTTTATGATACCTTTTTTGTGTCCGTTACCTTCTTTTGTAAAGAATGAGATTATATACACTTCCTGTTTACTTAGACATATCATTCGAACTTCTTTTAACAATAAAGATTCTGTTTTGGATGAATTTAGTAGTAAGCGATTTAATTTTATAAGGACCCATTCAGTAAGATTATAAATCAGTTTTTTTATCTTTCAGTGGGTAAATCATATTTTATCGTAAATTTATTGTGTTATTCACATTTTTATATCACTGGTAACATTTATATCCTGGTCTATTTTCTTCCGTTTTGATTTATAGATTATACAATTCATGATTGAATATTCATATATTTTTTTTTGAATAGTTAGTTATTACTCTATATCGCACATGCCAGTATTTTTTTCAGAAAAAATTTGCTCCTGAGTTTTAAATAAATAAATTAATTTAACTTCACATGGACAAATCAATTTGAAATCTGTGATTGCTAAGGCTAATTACAACTTTTATTAATTACCCAATATCAGATTATTTATTTTGATATTTAAAAAACAGCAGAAAAGTTCATTTGAATTTTTGAAAACCTATTTTGATATTTACTTTGAAATTTAATGAAGGTACAGTATTTAATGTTATTAATTTTTCAGAAATTCGTACCTTTTACCAAATACATACTTGCTATAAGTTGACAAGAAAAATGAATGGTGTTGAAGAATAAATGATGAAGAATCAAATGAAAATGTATAATAATAAAATAAAAAGGGTACGGTAAAATAAAGAAGATTATTAGTTGGATAATATTTTTATATCTTTGAAATTTTTGTTGAATGAATTCTTAAAAAAAATTCATTCAATACAGCTATACTTCACAGTGAAATAATTATGTCAATTATGTCAATTAGTAAAACAATTATGTCGAATTATGTCTGCAAATTATTTTACTTAATAATATCTATAAAAAATTGTAATATGTCAAATTATGTCAATGTTATGTTGAATAAGTATAAACACAACAATTTTTTATACCAGGAATAGTCATATCTGAAGTTTTTAAAGTGTATTAGCATAAAAGGAATTTCACAATATTTTAAAAACAACTGACAGGGCCTTGGCTAATCAGTTTCCTGGTCAATTCAGGCAACAATAGGTTGAGCCATAAATTATTTTAATTTTAGCTAATTCCCTTATGTAATTAAATAGTTTTATAAATTGTATTTATTTTCAATAAAATAAACATCTTGAGGTAAGACTCCATTGGTTAAAAAAAAATGTGATGTCACTATTAGAAGAAATTCTTGAATAATCATTATATTGAAAAAATTTATCAAAATCATATATTTAATAATAACAAAAATTTAAGGTTATGGGTGTTTTTTCATTTTATTTAAATTATTATTATTTGTATTTCGATTATTTGATTTTTTTTTATCAATCTATTTTATTTTTTATTATTATTAAAATAAGAGTTCAAGTATAAGATATCTTTATTTATTCAGTTCAAGCTATTTGATCTTTGTGGTCAGTTAATAATAAGTGACTAATTAGTTTTTCTTTGTTAGTTTATTTTATATTAAGTTATAAATGTATTAAATTCATCAATGCTATTGTTATATTTTTCTTTTAATATTTTATATTCAATAATAAAATTGGGATTAGTTTTGATTGAATCTTTGCTAAATGATGTAATTTCCAAGTTATTTCATGATGTAGCTCTACTTAAGGCTACATATGCTTGTCCATTTGCAAATATAGTTTCATCTAGAGATACCGTTATATGAGGGAGCATTAACCCTTGTGTTTTGTGTACTGTTAGTGCAAATGCATTCTGAAGAGGAAAACTGGTAATGATGTGAAAGAATTCCATTCACTCTGAAATAATTAGTTTCTTTTGTTACTATTACATTGGCAATACCTGTTATTAATGGAAAAGCTACTTGAACTGTGTCATTATCAATAACTTTCAAGACTACACCTACTGAACCATTAAATAATCCTTTAGTGAATAATGAATAATTAAGAAACATTATTCTCATATCCTCTCTAAGAATTATTTTTGTTGGAAAGTTTGTATAGTGATGAAGTAATCTATCTGTTTCTTTGGTGTCATTTGAACATTAAAGATAAGTAATTATTTATAATGCATTAGTAATACCATTGTTTATAATCTGTTTAATACTTTTTTTTAGTTAGCAAGAGATCTTATATAAGAAACCGATTCTATCTAATTAAAGATAAGTAATTATTTATAAATGCAATAGTAATACCATTTTTTATAATCTGTTTAATATTTTATTAGTTAGCAATTGATTTATGTAAAAAATTGATTTTATCTAATTAAAGATAAGTAATTATTTATAATGAATTAGTAATACCATTGTTTATAATTAGCAAGAGATCTTATATAAGAAATTGAAAGATAATCATTTATAATACCATTGTGTAAATAAATTAATAAATCATGTAATAAAAAGTATTACTAATTATTAATGTACAATTAAAATACCATTTTTTGATACAGTATTTTAAAAAAAAACTATAAATACAGTACATTTTTTTTAAAAGTAAATTCACATTTGCGTGAGTTCAAAATTGTAAAGATTACATGTCTAAAAGTATCTTTGCTAATTCTTGATAAACACATGTGTCAAAAAAACAAAAATTAAAATTCAAAAATTAAATTCAAAAATTCATTCAAGAATTTTAAAATCTAAAATTAAATCAAAAATTCAAATTCAAAAAGATCAAAATTCATATTCACGAATTTGCATCATGTCTAAAAGTTATAAGATGCAATTACACTGTGATTTTTGAATGATCAAATTTAAATCAGAAATTCAATCAAAAATAAATTCAAAAACTAAATGATGACTTTGTCAAGCCTCTAAAATTGAATTTAGTCAAAAGTTCAATACTTGCAAGTGCATCCTGTCTAAAAGTTACAAGATGTAGTTGTGAATGGTCAAATGACAAAAAAAAATTTTAAAATTAAATAAAAACAATGAATTCATTAATCAAAAAGTTTGTCAAGCCTCCAATTTTAATACATAAAAATGAAATAATTAAAAAATTTGAAATTCAATTTAAACAGACTCAAAAATAAATCTGACGAAAAAAAAAATAAACAAATTAAGAATTCACATATCATTATTGCAATACAATAAAAATAAACCAAAATCAAAAATTTTATTACTAATTGGAGGCTTGACAAATTATTAAAAAAATAAATAAAACATCATTATTACAAAAAATTAATTATTAATTGGAGACTTGACAAACAAAGTTAGAATTTAATAAGCACATGGGAGTCAAAGTCATAATGGACAACGGCTGCAAAATTCTTTGACGATCATAGTATACAAAAAAATTACACATGTGAGCTCATATCATAATAGGTAAAGGCTACATCATACTTAAAAGGTATGAGATGCACGTATATCCGATGATCATATTTGTGATTTTTTTAAAAATACAAATTTATCCAAATAAAATTTTCCTTTTTTTTTTTTAAAAAAAAAAAGAGGAAAATCATTACCTTTTTTCCCAAAAGGAGCGATTTTCCTCAAAAAAGCCCCTAATTATTTATTATTTGTGTTAAATTAAAAATATGGTTCATATTAATTGATTACGTATTGCTATTGTTGTCGACTAATAACAATATCCATCTATAATATCTATTTCTATTAATATCTGGATATCTAATGAGTTAAAGTTAATTGATTAATCAAGAGTTATAAACGATAAAATGAATATTTGTTATTTACTAATAAATTTTTATGATTTTCCTATTCAAAGAATTTTTTCTTGAATTAGTATTTTTTTATTAAATTTATTAAATTTAAAAAGTTGATAAGCGAATACATCAAAAGTAGAATAATGATTATATAGTTTGGTTGTTGCACAGTGCTGCTTTGTTTACTTGCTATATGTTATTTATATTGTTTGTATTATCTGTATTATTTGTTATTTGTATTATTTGTTATTTGTAGAGGAGAGACAATTTATTCCGGAAAGTTTATAATATTTTTAGAAATACCGTAGTACATCTCATAAATAAGCCCTTTTTTTTCGGAAAAAAAGAAAATGATTTTGAATTTTTGAAAATAATTGTTTGATAAATCATGATTTAGAACCTAAAAGTTATGTGATGCACTTTACGGTATGCAATTTATTTCTTTGGAGATCACCATTTAGTTTTTTGTGAAAGCCCTTTTATAAAATTGGTAAAGGAAATGATTTCCACGTTTCTTGGATTTTAAGTATTTTCTTTATTCGAAAATAAAAGTCATTCACGAAAGAATTATCCTTATGATAACTGAAGTATAATAATTCAAAATAAGATTAGGAATTTAGGATTATGCAGAACAAATGAAATCTTATCATCCATCCATGAGTGAAATCAATACATCAACAAGAAAAATACCATTTAGTGATTTTTGATGCATGTATTAGAAAAATGGATTGATGTATAATGATGAAGCATAACATTCACTTATATTTTTTCCAAAATGTAAGATGAGATGACCATCTCCTGTTGACACTACGCATTCTGAAGCAAACATTCGACTTTCAAATTTCGATCTTAATAGTGTAGAATTAATTTTCTTAATTGTAGTGCCTATTTTGGTTATAGTTATTATTATTGTTCTTCTAATTTACAATATCACAAAATAGTCTATAGCATAAAATGACTAAAGACAGTATTAGTGATGAATAAAGTATAATATAATAGTATTGAAATTATACTTTCTGGTTGAAGCTCTTATAAATCACTTTAATAAAGTACCGATAGAATAAGTTCAATGTTTAGGTATACTTGTAAATCTATATTTTTCGAATATTATAAATATTTTAATAACTATATTATTTCATTATAACAACTACGGAGCAAAAATTTCAGTTTTAGCTATTTCCATTTGAGAAGTTGGGATTTTAACGAAATTCCAATTCAATTTAATCTTGTCTTTTTACTAGTTCACCATGTATAAGATTATACTTTTTACTTAACTTGAGAATCTCGCGATTTCTAGAAAATCCATATATCAAAACACCTCCAATTACATATTGAACAATGAGTAAAGGAGAGAATATCAATCTTCTTTCATTTCTATGATGGGTCTAAGAACCTCACTTGGTTTCTCTTGGTTCTTAAAACAAGAATTGACATTTTGGACCATTTCCTAAGGATAAAAATTATTTAGTTACTGAAAAAAGTTGTACCAAAATTATATATGATTTATTACAGTTAACTCACGGATCACGAATTAATATTTTAAAATTAAAAATTTTTTAATCGCATAATCGAATCTTTCTGCATTGACATGAATTGAACATATCTTCGAACTTATTATAATTCATCACAAAATCCACCTTTTTGAAAACAATGTATGTATAATCCAAAGTAGTTTTCATTCTAGAAAATAGGTAATTCCATTATTAGCCAATGCCAAAACTAATTATATTATCATTATATTTTAAAAAAATTTTCTTAAATATAATAACGCTAATAACCATGCCGGTTAAAGGCACAAGACATAAAATGTTAATTTAGAGTTGTTTATTAAAAAATTAAATTTTTAATTACCGTTGTTTGTTCAAAGCAATAATTTATACTTCTAAAGCTTGTTGTTTAAAATAATTTTCTGTTGATGATATAAAACATGTTTTTTTTATTTCCAAATTTTTTTTATATTTCAAATTTTTGTTATGAATAAATATATAAACATATAAATATATATAAAAGTTTAAAAATGTTTATTTGAGTTCATTGAAACAATATTATTAAATACAATTCATTTATATAATAATTTAATAATGAAAAACATAGACAGCACAGAGGCGGAGAAATCATTATTATGATGTTTACAATTGTCTCTATTATCACTTTCGAATTGAATATGAAAATATTAAATTGAATATCAATAATGGATTCATAATGATGATCACAATATTTTTTAAAAAATATAATTAATAGATTATATATATATTATTGTCATCATTATGAAAATGCTAACTCTCTAAAATAATCTATCATCATTTTAAATTATAGCCTCATCTGACTTTTGACTCATTTTAAGAATCTTATTTCTTCTTTTATAAAAAACATAAATTGCGATACAGATCAAAACACCTATTCCTGTTCCAACCCCTATCTGTAATGGTTTTAAAGAACGAGGAGTAGGAGGAGTAGTGGTAGTAGTAAGAGTAGTGGTAGTAGTAGGAGTAGTGGTAGTAGCAGTGGAAGTATATGAAGTAATAATTATAACAAAGATTATAACCACAACCTCAGTACTTGTCGGAAAATAAACTGGAAAAGTGGGTGTTGTATTAGTTGAGTAAAAATGAAATGACTTAGAATTAGTTTGAAAATTTGTAAATTTATCATAAAATATCTTATGGCTTTACATTACCGGAGGGTAGTGAGGTTGTTGTATCTAGTTGAATAAAAATGTAATAACTGTTAGAATTGGGTTTTAGAATTTGTAATTTATCATAAAATTTCTGATGGCTTTACATTACCAGTTGGGGTTGGTGAATCTAGTTGAGTAAAAATGGAATAACTGTTAGAATTTGTTTGAGAATTTGTAAATTTATTATAAATATCTTATGGTCTTACATTACCAGGGGTTAGGGTTGGTGAATCTAGTTGAGTAAAAATGGAATAACTGTTAGAATTGGGTTGAGAATTTGTAAATTTATTATAAATATCTTATGGCTTTACATTACCAGGGGTTGGGGTTGATGAATCTAGTTGAGTAAAATGGAATAACTGTTAGAATTTGTTTGAGAATTTGTAAATTTATTATAAATATCTTATGGCTTTACATTACCAGGGGTTGGGGTTGGTGTATCTAGTTGAGTAAAAATAGAATAACTGTTAGAATTTGTTTGAGATTTTGTAAATTTATCATAAATGTCATTCGTTTCATCTTATGACTTTACACTACCGGAAGTGGCGGTGGCGGTTATTAGTCGAGATGATGTTGTAAAATAAGTAGTGGTTATTGGTTGAGATGGTGTTATAGTATAAGTGGTGGTTGTTTGTAATGGGATATCTGATTGTGTATCTGGTTGAATAAAAAACTTTTAGAATTGGTTTGAGAATTTGTAAACTTATCGCAAATATTATTGGTTTCATCTTATGACTTTACACTACCAGTAGGGTCTATTGTAATAGTTGTACTAGAATATGAAGTTACAGTAATTATTTCACTTTCAGTTTTAGATATTAACAAAACTAACGTTATGATTAAAAGAAAAGTAAAATGCTTCACAAAATTAATTGACATTATTTATTCTTTTTTGTGATTTTCGTTAATAGAATTTATCGTTTACTTTTGTTTTTTTTTTTTTGTACAAAACCAATGCTATTTTATAAGAATTTTTTTTTAAATGAATATTTCTCGATTTAGAGTTATTCTGGATTTTTTTTTTAAAAAAAAAGGTTATTTTAATAGAGTCAAAGATCTAAAAATAGATATAAATTTGAACAATGCAAAGTGTCACAGTATGTTATCTAGAATTCAAAAGTGTTACATTATGTTATCTTTTTTATAATATACTACGATAATCATTATGTAAAAAGATTGAAGATTCCAAATAAGGGCTAATTAAAATATAATAATTATATTGAGTAATTCATATTTGTCAGATTTTTGTATTGTACACGTCACTGGAGCAGACATAAATTGACAAATTACAGACAAAAAACTGTCACCAGTGACGTCCAGAATCTTCTCTCGTGCATCCTTGGAGAGAACGAAACCTTAACCATTGTTAAGTGGTATAAAAACTTTCCATTTATTATTCCCCCCTTTCATTAAAAACAAGACCAAAACGAAAATAATTTTGTCAGTTTAAATATAAAGTTTGACAAATAAGAATAAATAAATTACTTAAAAATAATCATTAATTGATCGATAATTATTCTAAACTAGGAAACGGGAACCGTTATCACAAAAAATTTAAAATGATTATCTAAAATAATCTAAAAATAAGAATCATCTCATTGAGAAAAAACCGTGATCGAAATTTATCATAATGTGCAGAAATATATAGTCCTTCGCTACAAATAATCTAAATTTAATTTTGACTTGATTACTTGATTTGGTAATTTGGTCACACTTAATTACAAATAAATGAAAGAAATTTAGTTACAACGAGCCTCGGTATTACGTAAAGTTCTATTTATATAAGGTAGTCTAGAAAAAAATTTGTGATCGGGAAAACAATGTCCCTCCAATAAGATAATGACTTGAGAATACTGAGAAATCACAATTGTGGTCTCCACGAATTCGTTTCTTAAGGATTTATAAACTTTTATTTATTGAATTTTTTTCTTTACGAGTTGATTCGTATCTTTTTCTAATAAAAATTACAAAAAGAAACTTAAAATGTAAAGTAAAAAATACATGATTTTTCAAAATAAAATTTTTTTTAATAAAATAAAGAACTCAAAGTCTTATCTTGTAATTTTAAAAATAAAAAAACGGAATGGAATGAGATAATTTTTTTAAGAAAACATCTACAATAACAAAAATAAAATTAAAAACAAAAATAAAGCAAATATAATAGAATAAATAAAAACACAAAATAATTTTTTTGGCACATAATCAAGTGGCCAGTATGTCTAAAACTTAAATTTTTTCATTTCTTTTAGGTTTAATACATTATATTAATAAATTTAAATATATTACATAAAAAGTTTACAATTTCGAACGAAAATTGAATTTCATAATAATAAGAAAAAGAGATTAATTAAATTAAAATATTTAGTTATATTTTTTTTTTTGAATTCATCTTGAATTTTTTTAATGTAAATGCTTTTATTTAAATGTATTTACATGATTTTATCTTTTTTTTTGATTTTCTTAAAAGTAATATTTATCTTCTTTATTATATTCTTTTAGAATCACAATCTAAAGTTTATAAATAAGAGATATCTTATAAAGTCATTTTTATTTTATATAATTATTTATTTCAAATATTAACATTTTGAAGATGAATTTAATCAATAAAATTTATTTTTGATAATTTTTCGATTCTTTAAAATTTAAATTAATGGAAGTTATTCTTTAAATTTTATGTATTAAACGAATTCAATTCTTTAGGATTATAGAGAATTTTTTTGCTTTAGATAAAAATAATCAATAAATTTATTCTAAGATTTTCATATTATAAATATTATAGTGAATATTATTATAATATTGATATCAATCCGAAGGGATTAGGTAATTTGAATTAAAATAGTTAAGTAAAGGGATTACATTGATGATTACAGCGATTTAGATAAAAAAAAAAATAATGACAATAACATTTTTTTAGCATCAATCATTATTTTTAAATGAATTATTCAATAACAGATAAAATAATATTAATAATATTTTACATGAATAAATATTAAAGAATAAATTTAATATCAAAACCTATATTGTGGAATATTAATATTAAAGTTTAAAATTAAAGTGTATTGTTTTTTTTTATATTATAGCTAATAGTGGTTATTAATTAATTGGATGTCACATTGTCAAAAGTCAAAGTCAGATGAGTTATAATTATTTTAAAGAGTTACTATTTGCGTGAAGAAGACAATAATATTGACTAATAATTAGCTATTAGTAATTAAATTCAATTATTGATGTTCAATTCGAAAGTGATAATATAATCAAAAAATCTTTATTATTATTATTCTTAGTTTTTTTATTTAGAGATCTTAAACATTTTGAAATCAATAAAGAAATTATGTCACTATGGAAGAATTTTACTGAAATGATCAATGATGATGGCGATCAAAATAAAATTATAAAATTATGGGAATTAAAAATAATTGACTGATAATAAATATGCTTATTAATTGAAATTATTATTTCTTATTATTGCATTAATATTTTCACTACCTTAATATAGACTAAACAACAATATACATATTTAAAATACATGATTTATTTGGCGGCGCAGGTTTTTTAACTTTGCAACCAATTAATTTTAAGAAAATTTCCTTTTCTTTATTTTTTTTTCAAGTTATTAGCTTAAAATAAAAAATATTATCTATTCTTTAATTAATTTTTTTAATAGAATATGTTAAAATATAATCTAAAGTATGTATACATGAATTTTGAAATTTTAGCTGCTACTTTTATTAAGCAAAAATGCTATTATAGTTTGTTTTCAACTTTTTTAAAATTTTGATAATTGTTCATGTTTAGTAATTATTTGTAAAACTTTGAGTTATATAAAGGTCATTTTTATTAAAAAATTCGATCAACGTTTTTTCTTAATGACAGAAATTAAAGACTTATCTATAGGGAAACATAGATTTCATATTTAAATATGAGTTTGAATTAATTATAGGCGGATTTATAAAAAATATAATCGGATTTCTGATCTTGTATTCTATTTGTTTATTGGATGAAATAGTCATGCGCAAGTAGTATATATAACTTTTCAAGCAGAGATCCTGTGACAGGACAAAGTAGTAAAAGGAAACTTTTTTTCGCCAGCGACCTGAATAAGTAAATTACTGAAAGCAGTCATTAGCATAAGAAAACTTTGTCAATCAAAAGAATTTAATCCAAATAGAAATTTGTGTAATGAAACGAAATATAATGAATTTACTTTCCATTTTTAGAAATTAACTAGAATGGCGAATTCCACCAATACAACAAAAATATTATGTGATTCTTTTCATTTTTAAATTTTTTTTTAAAAAAAAAATAAGATAATTAATAACAATATTTTATTCCTTTTTAAAGACAAGATATATTTTTATGATTTTTTTGACTATGACAAGACCTACATATGGGAACTTTGTATATGGATGAAACTCTAAATGAAAATTATCAAAAGCTTCTTCAATTGGATATTTATTTCTTGATTATAAGCAATCCATTTTACTTGTTTTGGATATAATAATTTTGCACAATATACACATGCCAAACTTGGATATTGTTTGAGAATA